AATTCATTGGGGAGCTCAGAGTTGTAATTATCTACCAAAAAGGTAGGTGGCGCTAGTTAATGATATTAGCAAAATTAAAAAATTAAAAACAAATCAGACAGAAATATGGTATAACAACACTGTAAGTTACGCCTAGTTTTACCGTACAAACGTCTTTTCAATTGATCTAGTTATAAGACGTCATGAACAAGTGCATTAGTGGATTTCTTGTAGAAATGATGCGATGAATCATTCACATCAGTTAACGTCACTCTCTTTTTTTTCTTCTAACAAACTGTTCGCCAATAATTAATGATAAAAAAATGTTAGACATAATCATCAACCTGTGATGCTATCTTATGTTTCAAGTTTACTACTATAAGAGAAATTAGTAATACACCGCATAGAGACGAACAATTTGGGTCCAGTGACGAATTCAGGATTTTGTCAAGTAGATGGCGATTTCTAAACGATATCTTCGGAAGCCATGTAAATTATTTTCCGCGATCAGTCAGGTAGTGTGTTCGTGCACATATCGTTCTCTACGTACCATTTGTATACAAAAAATCTACAAATTTATAAGTATATAGTTTTTATTAAAATAAATCAATGAATAATAAAATCGAAAGATCCAGATGACGATTAAATTTAGAAAATTCATCAATAAAAAAAAAACAATTTTATATCTAAATCTTGACAACTATACATCATAGCTACATTGATTTAAGTTGTTTCTCTGATGTTATTGAGTTTTTCATACAATATATAGTGAAAAGGCGAGATTTTTCTCAGAAAACATTCAAAACCTCTTGACAATCACTTAGATTGTCCTCGTTGAGGTCATAGTTGTAGTAATGTTTGATTTTAAATGACTCAAACTTTTATTTATTTTTGAAGTCTTTATCAATGAATGGTAGTAATGAGTAATACTCTTTTTGAATGAGTATCTATTACTCATCAGAGAAACTTACTAATCATTGAAATTGTATTTTAATCATAGCGGTTGATATCTTTTGGGCAATTGTCTCGATTTCAAAATTTTAATTCGTTTGTGCAAACATTTATTAAAGAGACTATATAAAAGACTTCTTTACTACTTTTATTCATGAGGAAGTAGCAACTGTCGGACTACTAGATCCGTCACTACTTAGGCGATGTCTAGCTTTTGAGTTTACTCCACTATAATATAAAACGATTGGTGAACTATTGACTGATTTATTAATTAATTTCGTTCGAAATTAATTGAACATTTTAGATAGAGAGGTATTTGTTTTTTGAATTTTTAATGTTTAATATGAATGTTAGATTTAATTGAGTTCGATGTAGTTTTGTAGGCAACTATTTTTAGATTTAATTGCATGCAATAAAAATATTAATAATGACATTTTTGTGTGTCATTTAGTCATACTAAATATTGATTAGTAACACTTTAGTGTAAAACTTTAATTTTTCTTATATCAAAAGAAATGAAAAACAATCGTGGAATGCTCAATACATTTCTTTTGAAAACAGAAGTTTTCAAATAAAAAAGAAAATTGAATATTATAGACAATATGCAGCAATATGGATTCGTATTTTGTAGTTTTAACCATTATATTTCTATTCACGGACAAAATAGATGTGATATTCGGAATTAGCATCAAAAATTGAGTCAGATAATATATTTTTAATGTAAAAAAAAATAGAATTCTATGGAAATTACACCCGTACTTCGCTCAGCCTTTTTTTTTATACAATTTCATTCGTAGTTGCTCCAGCATAGAGTTTTGAGGAAAATATCTTTTTCTCTACATAATAAATATATTATCCCACTCAGTATTTGATGTTCATTTTGAATATCATATCCATTTCGGCCGTATATCGAGTTATAATGATTAAAATTGCAAAAAATACAAATTTATTTTGTAGCATATTGTTCATAATATTAAAATAATGTATTCCACGATTATTTTTCATTTATTCTAACTTACGAAAAATTTACGTTTTACATTAGTGTCATTAATTAGTAATTTAACAGCACATAAAAAGGTCATCTTTAAAATGATTTGTTGCATATAATTAAGTCTACAAATAGTTGTCTACAAAACTACGCCCGAATCAACTAAATCTAACATTCGAAATTCAAAACAAAAAAAAGATACCTCTCTCTGTCTAAAATATTCAATTAATTTTGAATTAAATTAATTAATAACTCAGTCAATAGTTCACAAAATTTTTTATTTATTACATATGCATGTATTCTCTACAAACTGACAAAGTTTGAAGATATATTTAGGCGAGGGGCGAAAGGATATCACCTCTTAAAATATAATAAAATTATACTGTAGATATTCATTATTTTTGATATGTTATATTTCTTTGTAAATGAAATATTTTGTTTTTTCTTCATTCTCATTAAATACAATTTCAAGCTTTGATTGTTATCGTGTTTGATACGGTGACATGATATTTGAAAGAATGTTAATATCTCATTATTTTTTCGAATAAACTGATGTTTTTTTTATTTCATTTTCTAAAAATGAAGACTCAATTATTTAAAATATTCTTTCATAAACACATATGATTTATTATGTTGATTTGTCGTAGTTGAAAAGAATAATCGGTTATCGAAGGGCAGACAGTGAATGTTAAACCTTGATCAAGTATATTCATATGAATAATAGAAATCAACTGTTCTTTTTCTTCTGTGATAATATACCTAATGTCATCTATGTGTATTAATAAATAATAACGTACACGTAAATATAAAAAAAAAGAAAGGTTCATATTAACATGTTATTGGAATAAAACGTTTTGTTGCTTTATCATAAATTTCTGTGATATATTGTGTTTGTGCTTTTCTCTGTAATATATGATCATTATTAGGATAATAAGGAATAACTTCCCATTGTTGAGTCGCAGGTAAAGGTGAATAATAATTGTAATGATTCATTTTTATACGACCTGTATGAGCTGATTGAGATCGTGATGATGGTGAATGAGTTTGCTTAACAATACTTGTAATAAAAGCACCTGATCGTTTTTTACGTGATGCTGTAGGATCAAATACCATCATTTCACGATTTGATTTACCAGATGCCATTCTTTTATCTGTCATAGCAACTTTTTCTATGAATTTTTTAGCGTCATTTTTTATTTCTTGTTCAGTAGGTTCATCTGTAATTGATGCTGTTTTAATTAGAATTGGTTTAACCTGAATATATAAATGATAAATAAAGTTTGAAAAGTAGAATAGAAAAACAAAAAACAACAACTTTACCTTTTCAGAATGAGATACTTTTGGTTGAACTTGAACTTGAATCGGAATGATTTGTATTGAATCAGCACTTGTTGATGATTGAACACTTGACGTTGATGTTTGTCCTACACTTGATGTTGATGTTTGTCCTACACTTGATGAATCAATAGATGAGAGATGTGTAGAATTAGAAGATTCATTGTTAGATTGGTCTGGTGGTGGTAATATCATAGGAATTATTGGTTGTGCAGGATGTGATGTGACAGATGGTTTATGTTGAATTGGAATTTCAGTTGATGGTACAGTTTTAACAGCTTTCATAATAGCTGCTTCTTGTCGTTGTCGACGTCGATCAACAAGAAAACGATCAAAAAGAATTAATTGTTTTAAAAATCCATCATTAGGTACAACACATGGACGAGCTTTAATAACATGAACAAGACATTGTTCAAGTGAGACATTATATGAACGCATAAGATAAGCAACAACTATAGCTGGTGATCGACTGTTAAAAAAATATGATATTTTTATTAAGACTTTTTGTTTTTTTTAATTTTCATATTTACCTTTGTCCATGACTACAATGAACAAGTACACGAGATTTATTTCGTCTTGCTTCATCAATAAATGCAAATGCTTGATCAAATATTCGTATAATATTTTCTCGATCATCATCACGAAGATCAATTGTAAGTGTACGTATATCATTTGAATAATATGGACATAATTCAACATCACGTATAGCTACATTAAGAATATAACGAATGCCTAATTTTGATAGGCGATGCGTATCGTGTGCTGAAATACAATTACCAAGAAATAGATAAGGTTCAAGAATAAGTGATGGTTCAGTAACATTAAAATGTGTTTTAAATAAACGATGAAGACGATTAAGACGTGCTTCTGATGCTAAAGTTTGACTAATATTTGTTCCTGTTGTTGCTCCTGTTGACTGCCACTGTTTTGCATAGGACATTTTTTGATATGAATAAATGATTGTCAATGGGAAGAGAGACGAACAAATGAAGATGCAAATGTTGTATGTATACGTATATGTGTACGATTCAAGTGTCACTTTCTATTTTTGTTCTTTCTCTTTCGCTTTTTTTCCGCTTGCTCGCTCGCTTGTTGCTCTTGTTTTATAGCATTTCGATCAGAATAGTATGCGGGCATTTCATGCATGCCTACGTGCATGAGTACATATATACATCTAGATAATATCGATAATGAACGAAAAGATGATGACCTGTTGATTGAATGCATATGATAAAAAAAAATCAGCGAATATCGATGAAGATATATCACTCTGAGTTAAATCAAGATATGAAAATAACAATATACAATAGGCATAAAGATGTATAATATATTATTATTATTACTCATTTTGAATCGGTACAAAAAAGAAACATGACTAATTTTCTTTTATATTAATAAAAGCTTGAATGTTTTTTCTGCATCTAAATTCGTTATAAGTGAAAAGAAAAAAAATATTTTAGCCTTGAATTTAATGGTACGACAACAAAGCATATTTTTCTCGCCTCATTCCAAGGCTAACGAATGGTGTCTCTTTTTTTTCTGGGCCATCGACCTTATTATCAATAGAAAAAAAAGAAAAATTAGTAATCAATGAATAAGAATATTCAATAAATTATTTTCGAAAAAGAAAAACAACTTATAAAATTTTCAATATAATATTCGTACAAAAACGAAAACAATGATTGATAAAAAAGTTTCTTATTTATATACTTGAAATTATTTTGATTATCATTAAACATAATTGTGTTTAATTTGTTAAATAGAAAAAAATTAAAGCTAGAAAGAAAAAGAAACAAATTAAAATTATTTATTTATTTATTTATTTACGCCCAGTAAAACCAAATTCAGTTGCATCGTCTTCAATTTGATCAGAATATTGCCAAAGACCACGACGTGCTACTTTAGCTATTGTTTGTGCTTGTTGTAATTCATCATATAATAATGTTGAACGTATTTGACGACGATTACGTTCTTGTTCAATAATAATAAGACCTTGTTCAACTAATTTTTTTACTATATTTTCTTTTGTATTAATATAATAAAGTGATATATATTCAATATTATTTTGACGATATTCAACTTTTATTAAACATTCATTATTACCTATTTCATCTAATAAAGCATTTTTAGTTTCTTGTCGATCATCTTCATCTGGTGATGCTCGAACATAAGCTAATTCATATTCATGAGCTTGACTATTTAATTGTGAAAAACCTAAAAAACAAAATAAAACAATAAAATGATTCGATAGAATCCTGTCGGACAAACTTTTCCGTATCCCGCCGAGTCTTGTTGACTGAAAAACAGCTGACTATACAAAGTACAGTAGCCAACTTATTGTTTTTTACTAGATTAGTTGTCATGACAGATTTTTCTTCTTATCAACGCATTAGCTAATCGTAAAAATGTGACGAGTGTATATCTGAAAAACGTTTTTTCAAAAGCTCGATTCAGTTCGGAGTCTATAAAAATACGGAAAATGATAATTAACAGCTGAGAATTTCTTTATATAGTCATAGATGATTCAAACTGAAAAAGATCATTAATATTTCAGACGTTGCATGCTTCAGCTGAGTCAAACGCGACTGAAATTCATTACGATTTCCTCTACGAAAGTCTAAGATGTCATATATGATCGTGTTTTAAAATTTTTCGGGTTCATGCAGTCAGCCACCTTTTCTATTCGAATGACAGTCTAGTTCATTTTTTCTATAATTTGTTTGAATATTAAGATATTTGTTAGAAATAAAAAAATTACAATATACAACACATTTTGATATAAGAATTAAAAAGATTCGGCATTTAGCATTGGTCCATAGGACTCCATAATCCAGTAGGATGATTCGTTTCTATATTCTTCTCCCGCAATAGAATGTAATTTTCATTCATAAATAGACTTTATGACTATTAAAAAACCTTCCGAAAGTTTCAGAATGAATTAGTATTAACTTTTCGATTTATTTAAATACTTAAAAAAAAATTCAATTATGAATAAGAAGAGAAATGTATCAGAAGAAAGTTGAAGTCATCTTTCTTTACATTCTCTTCGTCTTGATTGATGACTATTTTAGTGAATTTTGCAACACCATACTACGATTTGACTCCGATTACTTTCAAAGTTGTTTTTTTTTTGTATATTCAAACTTCTTGAAAATTGAATTTAAAGATATTACATGCTTCATAAACCAAAATTTTTATTTTGTTTTTGTAGCCATTGCATAATCTAAAATAGTATCTATCCACTGAATATATTTTGGAATTCAACAATTGGTTTTAAACAGAAAAATTGAATTTTCTCCCTTTTTCTCCCTGAACTAAAATTTATTTTCTGTGACAACTAGAATCCAATCGGGGTGCATATATTTTCCTGTTCCTTAAAATAATGTTCTGATGATTTTTGGCAGATCTTACAAAATTTGCTCTATGCAAAAAAAAACAAACATCTCAATTCGATTCTAATTGTTACAAAATCCAATTGAAGGAAGCATTCGGGAATTTTGAGCCTACGAGTTTGACAATAGTAAGATTCAAAAGAACTGATTAGAATTCTCATCATGATATATTTTATCTATAAACTTTCTTTTTTTCTATATCTCTCATAAATATTTAATTTACAAAAACAAAAACAAATGAAATGAAAAAATACATACCAGGTGGTAATGTTGTAAGATGATTTAAATCTGTAATTATTTCTCGATTACCATAATCAACAAAATAAATTGATATACGATTATTTCCTTCAATTTTTTCAACACGTGCACGATACCATTCATTATCAGCTGTAAAACGTGCAGCTAATAATTCACCTTTTTTTTCGTTTATATTCACCGATAGGTTTTGTTCGATTAAATATTTCACGTAATTCAGATTGTAATTGTTCAAGTTTTCGTCCGTGTTCAGAATATTGTAGATAAATTTTTAAGTCAGATGTTATATAAGTAATAAAAGCATCACGAAAACGTGGATCAGTAAAATTAATTATATCTGATTCATATATATTTTCATCTTTTATACAAAAATAAAAAAACAAAAAGAAAGTTTAGGTTATTAAAATAAATACTTTGATTTACTTTCAGGATTATTTTCTCTTTCATTTTCATATTCATTCTCTTTTATTGATGATTCTTCGTAATTAGTCCAAATACCAATATGTTCCTTTCGACATTTTTCTTCAGCTTCTAATAATTGTTTATAATTTGATGCATTATATGCAGAATTATGTATTTTAGCAAGACCAGCTTGTACAAGTATTAATGCAACTGATTGTCCATCAGTAGTTGTTAAACGACCAATAAAATGACTACCACGATCCATACTTTCAACTTCAACAAAAATATCTCTAAAAAGAAATCAAATGATTCGTTTTTCTTACTAATTACTCAATTGAAAAAACATATATTACGAGGTCAATTAAATGAAATAGCTATAAAAAAAAATTTTCATGGAAATTAAATTCGATGCGTTGAGATACATGAGAGTAAGAAATTGGTTCTAATATAAAAATAATATAGAAATTATGTGTATAGCTTTGTGAAATCCTAGAAATAAATTTTCTAACTTGAAACATCTCGATGTCATTCCTATATTCAAATAAATTTTCAGATCTAATCCAATGCTAAATTGGAATGGTATTGCTTCGTTTGTATCAAAACATCATATAATAATATGCAGAAATTTGAATTTATCATAACCTTTTTATTAAAACTTTTATTTTACCGTTGTAAGAAATGTTCTTTGGAGAAATTTAATGCTTCAATACCAAATGGTTCATCGGATTCAATTTTTTGTTGTTGTTGTGAATTACTACTCACAGGAATACGTCGTTCAACACGTGGACAATTAATTGATGATAATAAAAATGACATAATCCAATTATCTTTTAATAAATGTATACGAAAACGAGAACCACTTGCAACAAATTCAACAACACCATCCATACGACCATTACGTTGAAGAATATTTAGTAAACCTTTAGCTCGTTCTTTATTAGTATCACCAATCATATCAACAATACGATAAAGACCACTACCATTTGAAAATAAACAAACAGAACGTTTTTCTGCTTGTTGTTCAGGAATGAGAAGATCATCTAATGTAACAAAAAAAAAAGAAAATTTTCATCGAATTAAAATAAATAAAAAAGCAACAAACCATAACGAGATGATCGTTGTTCATTATCTTGTCGATATCTTATAGCTTTTGCAAAACCTTTTGAAATTAAAACTTCACCAATATTAACATTTTCAATATAAACAGTACAATAAATTTTTTCTGGATAATTATTATTTACTGGTTGAATATAATCAGTAACAATACATACAATTTTATCAATTAAACGTTTACGAAGTAATTCACGTGCAGCAAATAAATATGGTATTTCATAAAGTGATCATTTTATTTGTTGTCGATTAAGATTTGAATTATTTTCATCAGTTTTTTGTTGAAAATCAGCAGTACGTGGAGAACGAACAGATGAAAGATAGATCTTTTTAATTTTATTGTCACGTAAATCACGAATTGTTAATACATCACAATTAACAATTTCCAAGATTTTAGCCTGAAAAAGTTTATAAAATTGAATCTGTATATTTTCTTCTTATTATCAATAAGAAAAAGTTGAGAAGAAGAATAAAATCTATTCGGAAGTCACGTTAGCATTAGAAGAAAGTTTGCCGACTGATAAATTGCTTTGAAGTCGAAACTATACCCATTGTGTAAACTCAAATGAGTTATAAATACTATGAGAAAAGAGTTCGTGTCTTTAGCTTATTGCTACGAAGATTCTGTACTTTTACAATATTTTTTAAATGAATGCTGTGATCTTCCTAGAGACAGACTCCTTAACGGGAATAGTTTATTGTGAAAGTTTCAGAGTTTTTCATTTGCTTGTATCTTGAAATACGAATATCAAATCTGTCAGTTTAAATCATTCGAATCTACATAATGCACATAGTCTCCACTCAAAAATGATTTATCCGTTGGAGAATTTCGCTAGATAGTGTTGCATTATAGACATGTCGTTAGCTTATCTGTTGCTATACATTGATTTACCACTTGCCTTCATATGTACAACTATAAACAATCGATTTCATTGAACATACAGAACATATCCATTTTTTCAGATAATTCTCGTTTAGTTATTGTTCGAGGATATGTTGAAAAATCACTCGATAATCATGACCAAAACAAGTTGCGATGATTAGATGCTAAAAGATTTTCATCTTGGCTTCGGTCCAAGAATAGATGTTACTAATTCAAATTAAACAAGAAAGTAATCATTATGAGATTTCGCAGAAAAAAAATGACAGACATGCTAAAGACTAGATTCGTATCACATTTTCAGAATGTGTTCGTGTATTGTGTAGAAAGTACGATACATTTTATATAAATGAGTATAAAGCATTAAAAATTCAAAACAAAAAAGACGATTGGTAATTACAGCTTTTCAATAAACTAGTTGATTTTATCAGAATGAGTTTTTATTTGTATTAAAGTAATGTGTTTCCATTGGTTTATTGAATGTAGATGAAAAAAGTTTGAAATCACTGTAAGTCAACTGTTTAGTTTCATTAGTAATGAGTGAGATCAAGAAGTCGACTTTGATCAAAATCGATTTATATTTCTGATCATAAGTTTACTAAAACTTTTGGTAACAGAGAGCTCAAAATAATTATTTTTAATTTCATCTCGTTTTCATTCGATTGATAAAATTGAGATCGTCTGAATATATCGAGATATAAAATATTTTACGGACGTATGTTATCTATTGTAATAGATTTGAAGAATAGAAAATATATTGTAACATTTCTTAATAAGTAGTAATACTTCGAATTATAATTTTTATCTATTGATTTCACTACGTTGAAGTTATATCGTTCTTATTAATATTCTATTAGGCCACATTTCAATGTTCATCAGTAAATCTATAATAATGAAGAAGATGATTAGTAATCATTTTATCTTCCTCGAATAAATCTCTAGAAATTTCGATTACGTCTATAGCATTTTTGAGTAGTTGAATAATTTCTTATTTTTACCTGATATCCTTTAAGTGATGAATCATTTGATTTACTATTAACAGCTGAAGCAGTATTACTATCAATATCAATAAGAGCTGGTTGTGGTATATAATTTTGCCAAATTTTTAATCGGTTATCTTTTGCATATTTTTCTGCAGTACGATATTTTTCTCTTCAATCTTGCTGTAATAAAGTTAAAGTCCAATCAATACATTTAGCTAAACCTTCTTTTAATAAATATATTGCTATATTTCCATTTGGACGTAATAAAGTTCCAAGTAAATTTTGATTATTAACTCCATCTAATATAGCTTTAACTTGTCTTTGTAATAATCGTGTTTCAACATATTGTTTAGCTTCTTCAGCATATAGTTCATTTGTTGAATTATCATCACGTTTTAACATAGGGTATTTAATACCACTCAATTGTATCGTTACTAAATAATATGATGGTATAAGTAAACAACGTACTGTATTACCATCACGTATAAATTCTACAATAGCATCTAATGGTGGTGATGATTTATGTTTATCAACAAATTGTTTAGGATTTTCTAATGTCCATTTCATATTTCTTATATGAGCATTTGGTGATTCATCTGAATAACGACCACGTCTATTTAATTTTGCTTGTTCGTCAATAATAACTAAACGTTGATTATTAGCATCATTTGCGCGTGCATCAGTTTGTTGTCGTAATTCTACAAGACCTTCAGATAATAATGATTCAATAATATTTTCATCTGTTTCTTTATCTCTTCCTAAATAAACTGTACATAGTGAACGATTTGTTTGTGTTATATGAAAATCAATTGTATAACAAATTTCACGATCAACTAATCGTTTACGTAAATATTCACGAGCTTCAAATGCATATGGTTCATCAATAGATGATTCACTAGTGTTTGAATTAGTTGGTGGGCGTGATAATTTTGGTGCTGTTATATAATTTAAAGAAATTCGTTGTTCATTTTCATTAGTTGATGATGGCCGTGTTTATGGTTTTATCACAAGTGTATCACCGGAAATAATTGATTTAACAATTGCATATCGTATTGGTGTTGTTTTTGTCATTATTGTTTAACCAAGAAAAAAAAAGGAAAATATAACATATCTAAAATATGTATATATATATACACATATATTTAGCTGTTCTAACACATATGAAAGACACATTTTTTGTTTGTTCTTTTGCTCTTTTGTACATATACAAAAAAGAAAAAAATAATATAATATTTAAATAAAAAGATAAATTTAATCAGGCTGGGATAATGATAAAGGTGGACGAAATTCAATCATAAGAACATACTCTTGTACAGCACTATTTGAACATTTTTGTTTTGTTAAATGCCAATGTAAACCAATTTTATGATAGAGACGAGCATTTTCCCAATCAAGAAGTTTATTGACTTCATTCTTTGAACGCTTATTTAAACATAATACGGGACAGAATGAAAGGCCAAATGTACAACAACAACATATACAACCAAATAGTAACCTTAAATAAATAAATAATAATTTTCTTTTTTATAATTAAATATTTGATAGTATTATTTTGACAAGATAAGGTTAACCTTCAATGTTAATCTAGTGAACAATTTTTGTTCGTCTCGTCTTTCATTTTATACAATGATAACATTTCAGTATGTAATCAATTTCATTCAAACACATAAAATATATAAATCATTATATAATTGATAAGACAATACAATCGTTCTCTGACGAAAAACCTGTATGCATGAACAGAGTGATTTAAGATAAAGAAGGTAAAAAAAGAGAAATAATACAAAAGATGTATGAAGAATGTTTAGATAGAATTATTGAGAGTTTATTTTTTGTTAGATTTACTAAATTTATTCTAATTATTAAATATTCATAAAAACGAAATAACACTGTCGAAAAATCATTCAGATTTACTCAAATCATTTTGATTTATTTTATGGATAGAGTATTAGTGAAGTAAGAGTTTCTATCGTATTTGTCATTACTTGAAAAACAATGATTGATGTAGATTTTTTTTTTTTGATTATCCACATATTTTATTTCTGACGTTCTGAAGAACTTATAAATCGAATGAGATATACAAAAGGGGAAAAATATATAATAACAAGATTAATACGAAAGAGAAAAGAACACAATAACATAATATTGATCACCTATAGAAGGAGAGAAGGATTGAAAAGGAAAATAGATATTTATGCTATTCGTTGTTGCCAATATTTATTTTATTTTTGAGCAAATTTGAACCATATTTCTAACAAAGATTTGCGTTTCTTGTTCAGTTCTGTCATCCATCTTTGCTAAAAATAATGTCCTAGTCCACTATGACATTTGTAATGAGTTAATTGAAAAATTTATACAAATCAATCACTAAATT